ACCATTCCATATTCAGGGTTTCTGTACACGCGGCATATATACCCCCCGAAATAAAGAATTTTTACTGTACTTTACGAGTAACAAACAAACAAAAAAAAAAAAACACGGAAAGCAAAGGTGTTCACAGTTTTTGTTTTACAATACTGTGGGCGTTGTAGGTGTGTCCCATGAAAATTGTGTGAGTCATTTTCAAACTTTTTCGCAAATTCGTAGGCGATATCGCAGTTTTTACGGTCACGAGAATCTTTACAACAAAAATCGCACATCGCACGGACATACCTAAATCAATTCAAAATTTGATATTGACCCAAAATATATATGTATAAAAAATTGTGAGGTTGCTCAAGTTTCCTTCTGGACGTTGCAAACGTTTTAACGAAATAAGTATAATTACCCCTATAATTACCCTATGGATGATGGGTATAAGAATACCATATACGATTCACAGTGAACCTGCAATATGTAGAATATATATTTGCACACTATTAAATAGATATAATAAAAAAAAAATTGTTGCAGCATAGTCTAAATCTAAATACTTTGGCGCTGAGTAAAAAAGAAAAATTTTGTTTTGAATATTTTTTACAACATTTTTCCATTCTTACGGGCAAAGAATATTGTACAGTAAAAGTTCTTTATTCGCGGGGTATATGTGCCGCGAATACAGAAACCGTGAATACGGAATGATAATCGGGTACCTATTGGAATCCTTTTATTATTATGTATGCAGTTATTAGAACCGCGAATAAAGAAATTTATAGCCGTGAATAGAGGAATTTTTTTTTAACTTTTCTTAATCCGCGAATAGTGAAAACGCGAATGAAGGAACCGCGAATAAGGCGCTTTTACTGTAGTTAATAATTTACTTTATGTATATTATTTACTTTCGAGCTCTAAAACAGTTTCACATATCTTTTCTTTAAAAAAAAAAAAAAAAACACATTTTTTGGATTTTCCCACATTTTCAACAACAACCTGCGCACATAAGTATTTTTTTTTTTTTTTTTTTGCTTCATTTTTAAAAAAAATTTAACGGTTTATACTAAATGTATTTTATCTGTTTTTTTTTTTTTTTTTTTTATGAAGCTTTTGCTCTACATTCAAAGCGAGTGCAAAAAAAAAAACAAAATTAAGAATAAATATACAAATAAAACAAATGCTATATTTGACTTTAAATTACAGATTGGACATTAAAAAAAAAAAAATATATATATATATATATATATATATAGAGAAAAGTCGTAATGTTTCGTAGGCACATATAACAGTGAACAATGAATAACATGCACGATCTTGTTTTACTTTGTTTTCAAAAATACACATCGTTTCGTTTTAAACAATCGTCTTGAAAAATTGCCAGTAACTGATATCATATGCAGGGAATGGACAAAGTAATATGAACACCTGACACATACACAATATTTATTTATTAATAAGATGTTGGGCCAACATTTGCTTGCAGAACAGGTGCAATTCTTCACGAAATAGATTCATAGAGTGTCTGAATAGTTTTTAATGAAATGTTGTCCCATTTATCTACGTCATATCTACTATGTATTTTGAGATCTCATGCTCACCGTCATTGATAAACTATAATAAAATGCTAAAAAAAATAATACAAATGAACGTCTGAACACACTAACTGCCATACTACAAAGTAATCTTGTTGACGATTAGATGCAAAAAGCAAAAAAAAAAAAAAACACACAGCAAAAATATTGAATTTCGCTATAATTGGACGAAATATCGATAAAGAAGATAATTGTCAAATGAGGAAATGCAAATTAGAAGAAAAGTAGAAAATTACGGACATGCATAAATTAACATATATTCAAAATTGTGCGAAATCATCTTAAGATGACTCGAAGTACCCCAAAAATCGCTAAATTAAAGAAATAATAATGATTTGATCCCTTGGAATTAATTGAATTTTTTATTGTACGCAGGCGCGCGCGCGTAAGACTTATTTTACAAGATATTTAGAGACCTACTGTCGACTGGGCCGGGTATATTGGAAAAAAATGGGAGAGACAAAATCAATAAACAAACATCGTACACCGAAATGTTGTAATATAGTGAAAAGTCTCACAATTTTTGTGGACATTAAAGCATTGGTCGCAATAGCTGACCATCGGATACGGAAGAATTAAGCTCAGTTTCGCAATCCAGAAAAAAACTTACCGAATTGCCAGCGACCAAAACTGGAAAAGATGGGTACTAGAAGGTAAGCCGATGCGCTTACCTGTTGTAACGGCATCACTTGAACTTGGTGCGCGCCGTCTCCTCGCACCTATCTGCACCATATTTTCGTGATTACCATCGCCTATGCGCTACAGCAAGATTTGTAGAATTACTATAACCGTTTGCGCAAAGTTGGACTTTGGTTTCTTTAACAGCTCTACGTATACGACAATACCGTAGAAGAAATTAAAAAATAGATTCAAGTTTTAGTGTTATCATACGTTGTACCGCGTTGATTAATCATTAACCATGAGGGTAATCATATAAGCAGGCGACAATCAATTAGGCGATCATCGCCAAGAGAATCTAATCATGTCGCCAAATGCGCTGGCGATTATCGCTCTCTTAATTACGTCAAATCGGGCGACAATAAAATTGCTGCCGCTGAGAATAAATTTGCAACAAATTTGTTGAATATAAATCAAGATAAGTCACCAAAAATCTCTCTTTGTACCTCTTTATATCTCTCTTGTCTCTACACCGCTTGTAGTACAGGGGATATTAAGTAAGTGCGATAAGACGTCGAAGAGCTGAAGATAGACCCGTCTTTTATTAAACCGATCGATTCGGAATCATAATCTGAATTGATCCGAGCCTGTGTATCCACTTGTCCGGCTAACGTCTGCCTATGTAAATTTGTGTTCAAGCTACAGATCACAGTTTTAACACATTTTGATGAAATTTGGTACACTGGCATGTTTTAACTCATTGGCGTACACTGTTGAAAATGGTCCGGATCGAGCCACTTTTTCGGCGTTCTAAATTGGTTTGTAAACTTTGGACCAGCTGGGGCAATTTCTGAATCACCTCTCTTATAATGAAAACTGAAGTTTATAGAATTATATCATAATAGTAATTTAACATAAAAAATTAGCTGCGGCAAATTTGGACATTCTCGGCCTAATATAGATTTTCACACAAATCGATCGTTTGAAGAGCGGAAAAGTCCAAGTTTTTATATGTGGTGGTTGAATAGTATAAATAGAAGCAATTATCAAAATACGTAAAAAATTGTTAATTAAAGCAATGCGAGGCCTAAGAGAAATTCAAGAAGATAAAAAATTAGCGAAAGTAACAAACTGCATCGCATAAAGAACCACGGGCCAATTTGATTCTCTGATTGCTGTATACTGTTCCATATCCCGCGACAAATTACGTTGCGCTAGAGTGAAAATAGATACCTATGCGTAGGTCCCATGATGCTAGTAAAGTTCCTTAATTTCTTTACATATCGTTTGTTTGTATTACTGTATAGTTGTGAATTTCTTTATCATATATTTTTTTCTTCATACTATTTATAATAATAAAATGTTTCGTCAATAATATTGAACTAATTTAGTGAAATGATTGAGGGATGAATCTACGGCAAATTATTCGCTATGAACCTCCTAACAAGTTTTCAGAGAGCCGAGAATCCTTTTTAGCTATGGAAACTGAATATCTCATTATTCATACCTCAATTTAAACTTATGATATTTGATTTTTTGATATTGGCCTTGTAATATTAATTTTTTTATATTTAAATATCCGATGTCTTTGTTTTAAAATATCTTAATTTGCGACGTAATTTTTATAAATTATAAGTTACATCTCATGTTATAGAATTTAATTTTCATATTTCGAAGTCTATATTTTCGCTGTCGGTTTGAACAATTGTAACTCGTCATATCAGTTTATGTTACGATATCTGATTTTCTCACTATCAACTGAAATAATCATACGTTGGTTTTCTTTTTCTAATGAATGATTGTAAATTTATTACATTTTAATGTATAACTAAGTATATTGCGTATAATGGATTAAAATAAATTTTCTTCGTTTTTTTTTTTTTTTTTGGTCCTACATTGCTATAGTGGGATCACAATTTAAAATCACTGTTTTAAAAGACATGGTTGAACGGCTATGTGGCGTTACATCAACGCCTATACACGTTATCGGTCAGAGAAGGAAAAGTCTGTCATCGCTCTAAAGCACTAAATGCAACGGTTTAAATGGAAAATTTTCGGGAATTAAAAGTTTTTCAATTTTTCTATGTAATTTTTTGAAATAATGAAGTGGGCATATGTAAAAGCTTTATTACATTTTTATTTATTTACTTACTAATAAATTTCATTAAATTGGAACGTAAATGACTGCTAAACCATTTAAGACATAAGAATGACGCATTCTAATTTATGTTCTAATTTGTTGTTCCAGCAATTTTTTCGATATTACAAGACTTCAATGTAGGATATTATGAAGAACTTGGAACCACAGGCGCATCAAGCCACTTCTTTAACCTTGAAAATTCGGTTAACAATTCTATTCTTTCGAAAAAAAAAGTTCTATTATTTGTCAATTTAAATGTAGACTTTTTCTACAATATATACATTATGGGCCACGGATCATATCAAACGGATCTAGGAAGCCATTGCTTTATTAGGTTTTAAAGAAAACAAATATCGACTTTTGTGTTCGTCGCGAACGAAAGTCAATTAAAAGATATATATGTAATTATCACCATGATTAACGTAAACATTTGTCTTCTACTACATTTTTAACATCCCTGTCGTATAAAATCGCAGCAAGTAATTTACTTTAAATAAATAATATTGATTATCTATTTGAGTTTAATTTAAATAAAACTAAACAAATTTTAAATGTGCATCTAAGCCCGTTTAAGGATCACATTATTTCTATATATGCGTTTTTAGTTGTTGTTTTCTAATTCAATTATTTGCCACTGTCATTTTCCGGAGAGGTCTACTGAAATGAGTGCATTTTTTTTCCACCCTTCAAACAAAATGAATAACTATCTCGCTCGCACAAACGCACCACTTGCAATAGCATTAGTGCTTTTTTTCTTTTTTTTTTGTTGATTAGTGGAAGTCCGCGATTTTTCAAGCGTTGCTTTTTGCCGATTATTTTTGCGGAAACCGGAATCAATCAGAATTTCTTTAGATTTAGTTTCCTATCAGTGTAAAATAGAAATTCAGGAAATACTGTTATTATTCGTAAAAAAGGCGCTAGAGTATTTTTGTTAATTTTATGACAGTGAAGAATTATGTTGTAATATATAGATAACGTGTGCAAGTAATATCGATAAATTCTGTACAATGAAAATTACTAAAAATTAAACAAGAAATAAAATTAACGAATATGAAAAATAAGCCATGCCTATCACCAGGTCGCGCAGTAAAATAGAATTAATTAGAGGGGATATTAGAGAAAACGATACTAAAACTATTAAACTCCAAAAGAAGAGAGCTGCTTCAGAATTGGGGCATCAATTGAAGGAAATTACGAATAAAAACGAAATGAATGAAGCTGCAAAAATTGTGTCTGCTGAAACTACTAAAAATGAAGGGAAATATAAACGAGAAACTGCCGAACCAATGAATATCGACGCAGATGTTAGCCCTCCAAAAACCCAAAAACTTACCGAAGAAGAAAGTAACGAGAAAGAAGCAATAAAAATAAATAACAAATCTTTAGCGCAAATTAGTGGCAATAAATGTTTAGAGGGATCGTCGAAATACGAAAATAAACGTAAATCTCCAAAAGTTAAAAGTATATCTTTGAAAGCTCAAAATAATATATCAAGTAAAGCGGAAGCGGCAAATCCTATCACTTCAACTAATAATTTACCCGAACAATTATTGTCGGTAATATCGAATTTGTATTTAAATGTCGCGCAGCGTTTGCATTTGGACTTCACACCTCGTTGTCTAGATGATTTAGCTCATTGTCATCGTCATCATTATCGTTCCGATTCGCCGGAGATGCCATCACGTAATCAGGCCCAAGGCTTGCGTACAGCTTTCGAACAGCTTCGTTACGTTACGTCAATTAACTTAACCACCGACATGTGTTTGCGTGGAGAGTTTCCTGGCGCCGCAATTTTTAAAAAACTTCTCGAATTGATTTTAGTAAGTATGTGAACTTTTTGCATTTTTATGCAATTACATTATAAACTTTTCTATATTACAAAGAGCATTAATTACACGTCTAAACAACAACCAAACATAACTTCGCAGCAATGTTATAACAAATACATTGAATTATTCTTAATGATTGTTCGTACTTTTCCACCTTGCTGGCATAAAATGAGAAGCTATTATATAGATTTTTTGGACCGCGGCCTCGATACTAGCAAATTATCATCGAACAAGGAGACACTACCTAGCAAATCTTCAAAAGTTTGCGATATACTTTTGGATTTGCTAGAAGATTTGCTGAAAAAATGTCCACAATCTGATCTTTCATTTCCGGGAAGCGACTCTTTAAATATACCAACATTTATGGACGCGAATGGCGGACCTAATTCATCTAGTGATATAAGCTTTTCGTCGGAATGTTGGAATCAAAATCAATATGAAGAGCATGAACGTCAGCTGCAAACAAATATTGCACTAACATTAGTTCAGCGTTTGGAGCGCATCTTTGTTGCATTACGTTTAATATTGCACACTCTGGAATACGATTTAGCTATGTGGGTGCTGCATCACAATAAAAATACCAAGGACTGGATATGTTCGGAAAATCGTCCATTAATAGTAGTAATGTGCGAGTTGACACAATTCACACGTATGACCAGAATGGCTAGACGTATCTTTACTGTTTTCAGTGAAGCCGTTGCTAAGGGCTTGTGTAAATCTAGACTGCAAGTGTTGGAGGTAAACTCAATATCTGTTAAATCAACCTTAAAACATATACGTTGTTTTCGTAGCGTTACATTTCTTTGCTTATGGTTGCCAGTAATACCATGGATATGGAAAATACAGCCATCGGTGTTAAATATCCCGTGTTAGGTGAAAAAACGAAGGATTTAATAAAAGATTTTTTTGAAATTTTCAAAGGTATAAATAAATAGAATTATTATATCTAATTTTACGTTTCTAATACAAAATTTAAATCATTGGCAGAACATAATCGTGAAGACATCACTAAATACATGGAAAATATTGAATTGCTGCACATTCCGTTTGTGCGTTACGAATTTATTGACAGTGTTTTGTTTACTAATTCGGAACCATTAACACCGCAAAAGATTGCCCTCGATATGGCAAAGAAACGTTGGTTACAGCATAAGATTTTTGCTGAACTTGAAAAACCCAGTGAAGACATATCCCGCGAACAATACTTGCATTTACTTTTGAATGCTTTGCGCAGCTACTGTGACTGGCATGGTCTAAAAACGTTTTGGGATATTGTCACAAAATCTGTGAAAATAACGCCTCTCACCACAACTAATGATTCTGTACATCGTTGGCCGACTCATGGATCAGGAGTATTATTGTTAAAAAAGATGGCTAAGGATGTGAAGCAATTGGAGACGAAACTTATAATGACTGTACGAATGTGTAAACCCAAAGTTGATTTACCTCTAGCCGATATTTGTATAGACGAAACAATTATTCGTAAATATCGACAAGATTTAAAGTTTGTAGTTGGCCTACATAATGTTATACTAAAACAAAAGCAGGAATATCCTGAAGTCGATTTCAGTGAATGGTTACATTTTCTAAACGATTTCATTCCGGAAAGAGGCACGGCGTCGTAATTTTCTTTTTTTTTTCTTTTTTTTTTTTTATTCCATAATATTCAGTGCATATTTGTACACCAATGTCAGCATATAAGGTACACAGTTCTTTATTTATTTTAATTTGGTGGGCGAGCAACTTGCTATATATCTCTTGGATATCTAATACACTCGTTTTGACCCAAAAAAGTCTTTACTCTCTGGGCTTCAACCAACTTTGAATTTGACATATTTTGGCAGCTATGAGGTGTTAATTTATTATTTATTCTCATAATAAAACAAAAAAAAAAAAAAAAATGAATTCCTTCTATTTGAAGATACGAAATTTTATTTAACAGCACCAGTTGTTTAATGATCTCTGAACGAAATTTAATAACTGTAATCCAAGCTGTTCGGAAGCTGGTCACAATGTGTGTGATATAATATCTCGTTGCGAAAGCATTCTTAAAACGAAGGTTACAGAGACGGACGTCTCAAAATTGGTATTCGATCAGAACACGGAAAGTATATAGGAAATGTAGGTTAATATGCTTGAATCGATTCAAAATTTTTCACTGATCGCGAATATATTTGCTTCACGGGATCTCCGAATATGATCAATCACTCAGGAGATTGTCCTCTATTTGTCTTACACGATTCCTGGGAGAACGGAGAGAGGGGAGAGAAGGAAAAAAGGCAGGTGGTAGTCCAAACGAGATAGGTGTTACGCCTTTATCCAGGACTAAAGACAATTCTACCGCCCTTGAAACATGAACCCGCGAATACTGACTTGATAATCGCGATTCTTACCTACTCGTCTATTCAGATGTGTATAAAGCTCCAAGGCTTGGCTTAAGGGCCTCTTACACACGTTAAGGAAAATGTTGAATGTACCCCGAATTCTTCCCTATTCGGTATAAGAAGGGCCATTACATTGTTTCGATGTACGGTCAGCAAAATTCGAATTAATTCATAATAGATAAAGAAAGAAGAGGATTAAAAGAAAAAGAAACTTTCTATAACAATAATCTACTTAGCAAATAATTTGATAAACCTTTGAAATTTCCTTTTTTAGAAAATAAGTTCTTATAATTGATTCATTTTTTATTATATCGCTTAAATTAACTTAAGAAATAATAAAAATTGCATGTTATATTTTTAAGTTATAAACGCAAAGCCTAATCGGTCTATGGAGTTTTGAAAGAAGTAAAGAGGTAAATATGCCGTAGGTGTCTTCTCAATACAAAGCGGATGAAATCCAACCAATTAAAAAGTCTAATTTTAGTTAAAATTACTGAAAATGATAATGGGATTAGACACAGCATGTTTGTACGTGTGCTTTTATATGAACTTTTTTTTTTTTTTTTTTTTTAATATAGGAGAAAAAGTGTAGGAGATTAATGAGCTGTACTGTATGCGTAAAAGAAATACAATATGTTTGTGTTGGTGTTAGCTGCCGCAGTAGAAAAAAAATTCATTTCACACATTTGAAATTTTAAGACGATTATGTATTTGATGTTTCGATATAATGGAGATTTCTAAAATACGTAGGAACTTAACACACAATCTTTGTAAGTATATGCCATCGATAAAAGTGCATCATATATGAGCATACACTCAAACCTGTTTTTGTGGGGTCTTTTTCACGCGCTTTTTTTGTGCGATTCTTTTTGTGCGGTATATGAATATCGACACATTGAATTTCGCCGAGAGGTTAGGTCAATCTGAACTGTGTTGGCATCACTTTTTTTTCTATCAGTGTGTATGTACACATTGCAACAGCCATTTTCATACCTATTGCATCAGCCTATTTCATTAGGCATGCTCAATGTTCTTATGCATATATTGCATCAGCCAATTTCAATATGTACATACTGCGCCATCTAATAACCTATTTCATTTTTTTAAATGTTTCAATGTGTAATTGAATTATTTATTATGTTTGGAAAGCACTTTCTTGCTATTTCGTGAAGCTTTGACATATTTTCTAAGTGAGACTTTTTTTATGCGGTCCCTCTCTACCGCATAAAAAAAATTTTCTTTAATATGCTATGAAAAATTATTTCTTATAGCTATTTATGAAGTTTTTGAATATTTTTTTTTGTGCGGTTTTTTTTCTGCGGTCCCTATCTACCGCACAAAAACAGGTTTGACTGTATATTACTTATAAAGTAAATCCAGCAAAGAAAAACAATTAGTTGGATATGAATATGTCTCAGAGGGGTTTTTGTAACTTCGCAATCAAGCAAAAAAGTTATCAATTCAAAACATAAGGGGAAACAAAAAATTGCGATGGACTCCTTAAGGCTTTTTCTTATACATTTATACCTTTTTTTTTTTTTTGCAATTCCCAAGAATTTCAATGTACGTATCATTTGGTTATCTGAAATTTCTGAATATATGCAAAATGGAGAAAAATGCTGCAACAACTTGACAAGTTTTAAAAAATTACTATAAGTTATTCACCCTAAAAACGTACCACACCAAATGAAGCGTACGATTTCAAACTGATTTAATTTAATATTCGGCCATTCGATATATCACAATTATGCCGCATAATATAATAACATCCGTAGCATTAATTTGACTATTAAAACAAATACATTTAGAACAGTTTGAAAATTAAAACTCAATAAAAACCCAATGCAAAAGACATGTTGGTCTAACGCAAGCTTAAAAGTTGGAATAGTGAAATCTATCTCCCGATTCAAGATGAACAGGTCTCGCAGACTGGATAGAATTCACTTACACCCGACATGATTTTCGAATTAATTATTAAAGAGTTTATCTCACTTCTCAAAGCTCTATTGACGTCAGCGTAATCTTGGCAAGCAAAGGGATACCGCAGGCGTTTAATATAATAAAATTTTCATGAGGCCTCTAGACCGAGGTGTTTTCACTTTCACATGCCTAAGAAGAAAGTCCGATGGTAATCATAATAATCTGAATAATACGCAAATCACTGATGACGTGACGTGGGTGGCATCCATAATAATATTTTATGAAAAGAAGTAATGATTGTTTTCTTTTTTTTGCTTTTAAATATGTCGAATTTAGAATATACAAAATTTTGTTTTAAAGGGTAAATATTGATGGATATTTAAATTTCAGAGCCTGCTTCAATCCGTTGGCTACGAATAGTGCTTGGGTGGGATTGATGGCTGATCGAAAAGAATAATAGCTTTAAGGGCTATTTCCTTTATAAAGAATATTTTCATTTTGATTTTGGATTTTGGAAAAGTAGGATTATTTAAAGGGATCATCATATCAAGTTTAGCGGATTATGGATTATTATCTGATCATCTGAATTGATCAGTTAGTTTTATGTTTTATTCTTCTCTCTAGCCCTTGTAAGAATTCAAAAATATACTTTCGTTCAATTTTATATTTACTATTTAGCGATAATACAGTAGTAATCTAAGTTCTTTTGTTTTCTTTAAGGAACGCCTACTTTTAAATAAGTACTGTTACCGTTTTGAGGAATACAAGTTGATATCTTTTGTCACATTTATATATAGTTATTATTTCTCCGATTTTGTCCGATTAAAAACGCAATTGCCTAACATGGAATATATTATTTTCGGCACCATCACCACTATTTTCCGTATTATCATCAATGATACGACGATTTCTTTGCAGTAAAGAAATATTTTCGGTTTCATCTACACTATTATTATGTTCAAGATTATGCTCGGTTCGATTGTTTAAATCGTTACCATCATTATCTTCATTATCATCGACTGAGTCAACTAAATCATGCAGTGTAAGTGCATGAAAATTATTAATTGTTAAATCAATGGTGGGTTGATCGGCTGTAGCCATTATCTGTTGCGTGGTCCCCAGCAAATTTTCAGCGGCAACGAAAAGTTCACGATTGCCGCGTCCAAAAACTGCAGCAGCTTCATTACCGGTAGCTGACAATAAACGATGATTATTACTTAAAGTGCTTACTGGTGTTGAAACAATAGAATAATTTGTTGTGGAATTGATGCTACCGGCTACGCCAGATCTAACGGACAAATCGTGAAAGTCAAGCTCATCCATAGAATTATCGATTCCAGCTCTAGTCGCAATTGTCGGCGTACTAGGAAAAACGGATATATTATTTAGACTGCGAGGGCGTGTCAATTCGTCGGCATGTGCCAAAGTTGAGCCTATAATATTACTCGCTATGCGTATGGCAGCATCTGTGACGGCGGTGGTTGATACAAAGTCGTTTGAGATACCAGCATTCGTATTTAGGCCGTCGCGACTTAAACGGCTTACATAGTCTAAAGGCAAACGTAAATCTATATCCGGATGCCCATTAATTGCATTGCCGATATTCTGTTGTTGCCGATTTTGGTTATAAAGCTGGGAAGCGAAATTTGAATTCGTTATTACGGAATTACCTTCGATACGTAGACCAGCTACACCCTTTTTTGGTATAGTGGCGAGGTCGCGTTTAACATGACGACATCGCGACGGCTCATTCTGACGCTGTTGTATCATAGTTTCTAAATCAACAATATACACATAGCCAGCTACTAATATCGTGCAAGATTTTTCACCTTTTTTGTAAGCTTCTTCTATATCCTGACTTGTTCGGTCGTCGTATTGCCACCAACCTTATGAAAAAAATGGATATATAGAAAAATTTCTCATATTACAATTTTAAAAAATCTGTTTTCAGCGTAATATTTTAAATGACGTATGTCTTTGATAGCTCTTACTTGCAAAAAACAAATCAAATTCCGTGACGAAATAAAATATAAAATAATTTCTTTTAACGATCCAAAGATATTTTTCCAAAAATAATTAGATTAATTAATTGATCTTAACCAGATCTTATAGTAATTTTCGTAGTCAACCTATAACGTGCAAGAAAGAACAGACAACAGATCCTAAACGTGATTTTAGTTAAAATTCATAGTTCAACAAATAACGCTTGAGTATGTCCATGTATTCTTGGGATAAATTCCACTTAGGAAATATATCTCAAAAAAAAAAAAAATAAATAAAAAAAACATTTTTTCTCAAAGGAAAATACATCAATATTCAAATAGATATTAAAGTAAATATATTTTCTCGATTTTATATAGCCTTGTCCAAATCCTCGCTCGATATGTGCTATGGTGATTGCTGTAAGTGATTGATCCAATAATGTAGGTGAGTTTTCCAGTATTTCTTCAAAGTTTTTCATTGAGTTTCGGTTTCTTCACTTCTCAACTTTTAATATGCCAAAGTATTAAGTTTGAATATTCTGAGTTCATGCGCCCCTATCAATTTTTGTAAGCTGAAAATACAACTAGGGGAAAAAGTGATCAGGCAGGCGGCAGACATGACGAGGTACGATATACGTTTTCGAATTTTCTGTTATTACAAAAAGAGTGACATTATTAGCATAGCGTCGGCGTTCTTTTCCCGGGTGAATGTCAGATTAATAGTCTAACAAGTTATATGCGCAAATTTTTACTATGGAAGATTTTTTTTTTTTTTTAATAAAATCATCCATCAATCACAGAACAATTCTTCGGTAGAAATATGTTTTTGAACATTGTACAAAGAGACACGAAGTATGATTTTTTTTCTTACAATACAATATTACAAGTAAAGAGAAAATATTTCGTAAAAATTGGAATTTTTTTGAAAAACAAACACCCCTAGGCTGGTATACGTGAAAGGAAAATTTTATGATGTAACTGAATTTTATATGCTTTTCATAAAAGATGTCTCTCTTCCTCTCCCCCTGAATTCTTTGCCAACTCTACTTCGTTTAGGGAATTTCAGTTAATGTAAAAATGCATTAGGATTCTTATAATTTATTGAACTATTTATATATATACATATATATATATATACATAAGTGAATTATTTTTTTTTTTTTTTAAACAAAGGACATTTTTCTTTTGGTAAAATATTCATAAAACTATCATTTTCAATACAAAGCATTCAAAATTGCTCTGCTATCACATTGATAACCTTTGTCCAAATTTCTCCATTTAGAAATCTCATTAATATGGTTGATATCTTCTATTACGGTTCATGTTTCTATTCGATATGCCTGCTACGCCTTTAATTGGCATATTCTTGGCTCTACATATTTTACGTTCTTTAGATGGCATATTCTGCGGATACTGAGTCCAATGAGCGAAATCTATAGTATATATGTTACCGCAAATTTGAATATCATAAGTCACAACCTCAGAGTCAAAAAGAACCGACTGATCTTCAACTCTTAAACTTTGTAGCAATCTTTGATAGGCTTCTTCAATTTGTAGAGCAGAGCGTTTATCGTATGCCCACCAGCCACCTGGGGAAGGAAGTTAAACAAAAAAAAAAAAAAACAAGAAGACAGTAAATTTTTGAACACAGGTGGACTATACAATTATAAAATGATAAAGGAGGCGTATGCTTTGATGTATGAGAATTAACGCGAAAATGCAATTTTCCGACTTTCGATGAACACAATATCAACTTGATAAAATTACATATTTGTTGCAAGTGAACATCAACAACAAATCTATAAAAGAGACAGTAGAAGAAAAAAGAAAAAAAAAAAACAAAAAAAGCTGAACGATGGGCATAGTCGGTGTTCCATTTTCTGCGCGATTTCCTTGTATATGATAAGAACAATTTAAGAATGCAACGTGGTAAACAAGAGAACTTTACGATACCGACAGTTACAAGACTTTCAACACTTTCAACAGTCGATACTAAAATAATGCAAGCTCTGCCATTAATTCTCAAGAGAGTTTGGCTAAATCTGATCTGATCATTAACAATCAAATGCAAATGATTGTCGTTAGAGTGTCTTTGCAATCATTTGCAATTATGAGAAAGATTTATTATTGTTATTACTGTTACTGGCGATTAGATAATTCTCGATCTTTCTTCACAGACAGGCTTCATGTTCATGTTTGCATGGAGACGAGAATTTCGCCTACCACAGACGTCTCTAAGATGAGAAAATTTACAATAATTGTTTGACATACACTCGTTACACATCACATATAAAAAGTTTTCTGCCACTATTCACTCATTGCGTTGCTGATGAAATTCTGATTTACTTTAAAAGTGTTTATGAAAAATTTAAAAATGCAAATAAATTGGCAACTGGAACACATGCGTGATCTGCAATTGAATTTTTGAAAAACGCAACAAAATAAGAACGCTTTTAAAATATTAGTAATAGCGAGACATACCTATTAAATTCCATTATTGATAAACTGACCTTTGCGCCAAAAATGTCTACTAATGCAAGGTTAGTTCCTTGTTTACACCCATCAAGCGTAAATTGTATTATCATTTTATTTATATTTAAAAATGTGTATTAAATATACCACATGTCATATATATTCTTGATCAGCATAATATAAGCATTACGATCACAAAAGCTACGCAAGAAAGATGAAAATTGGCGAATATATTTTCAGTTTAAAAGTAGACTTGGTTCATTTAACAATGTGCCTACAATTCACACAAAAAAAAAAAAGAAGAAAATCGTCCAAAAAAAAGGAAAATTTCAATAACGCAAAAGGATACGCGATACAAGTTTGTTGTAATAACATATTAAAATGTCACACGACAAAAGAACTCTCAATCATATTCGCAATTAAAGCAGTAAAGCTATTTTCATTAATACGATAGTCGTTCATTACAACACTTAGTCAACAGCATGTCTATTGTTTTAAATTGGTGACTTACCATTTCTGCCCTCATAAAACCACTGATAACCATCTTCAGTTGCTCTAGTTGAGCAAATATCTTCAATGCCGTTTACCAGCTGAGGATGATTAAGAAATTCCCCTGGGATTTCACGACGACACATAGCACATCGACGATTTTTATAAGCCACGCCCTAAATGAAATTGAATCATATTTTAGTAATAATACATGCAACTAGAAATCAGGCCGGAGAGATAGAGAGAAGAAAAAGACAGAAAGTGGGGGTTGGGATTTGGGCTATGTAATATTAATGATTACTATTGCTATTTGCGTTCAGTCTAGTAGTCAATCAGCATTAAATCTATCAATATACTTTGGCAGGTCCTTCTTTCAATAAAAAGACACGTAAACAAAAAACACATAGGAAAACTTTGCTTACATTTTTCCAATCGAATGTCAACGAATTTAACGTCAAAAACAGGTGAGAGGAAATAAAAAAAGCATACAATGCAAGAAATTCGGATACAGTGTTTTTTTGTTTTGGATTGTTGGGTGGAGATGGATTAAGCCAATAGATCGGATATAGTTTAGTCTATCGTACGTTCTCAATTGGTAATTTGATCTTCCTTTATTAAATGTCCACAGTATTTTTTGCTGAAATATATAATTATTTACTTATTTGTACTCACTTTTACGCATAAAAAGCAAAATATATGCCCACAAGGAAGACGAGCGGGATGTATACATGTCTGCAGACATATTGGGCATTCGAGTACATTAGCTGGAGCCGAAGGCTCTGTAATAAAAAAATAAATGTAACAAAATTTTGCCCATTTTCTTGTGAGTAGACTTATATACCAGTGCCACTTGTATCTTTATTTAAGGCCGAAGCTGAATCATTTGCTAAAGCAGCTGCCGCAGCTGCTGAAGTTGAAGGCACATCAAGAGGTGTTTTGTTGCTCTTTGTTGCGTTTTTATCCGGAGATTCAGTGCCAGCACTGAATGTTGAGGTTTGCAATGTTGGTGTGATATTTGTAGTTGTTTCGTTAGCTGACAATGCCGTTATATGACTTGATGCCAAATCTATTGGTTGATCTAATGTTACGGCTACATCTCTGTGATTAACCAACACATCATTGCTATTAGAAAGCACTGAAGATTCGGTCGCCGTCAAATTGTCTTCTAAGTTATCCATAACTTCGTTTTGAGAATTCTGAATATTAAGAAAAAAATATCACTATTAATATAAAAAAAAATGTATTTTATTATATTACTATCAACACACCTGATGTGGTTGCTTTTCTCTTTATTTTAAGCCAATTATTTCTCTTTCTAATTTCATCACATTAATTATCGAGATTTCTAAACATTATTTTTTCGATAATTAGAATCCTTTGAACGAAATTGTATCGCTTGTTTATTATATATACAGTTAAAATTCTAAAATGACGCAAATCCTTTCCCACGATATTTATTGTTTATTGTTTTTTATACAATGACTTTCTTACTGGACAATACCAGCATTGCCAGCGTTAATTGTATGATTTATTTTGCATTTTGTATAGCGTTCACAATTTAATCTGTATATATATTAATAAATTTACGTTTGGGCAATCCTAAAGTTTAAATATCCTAAATGAATAATGTCACAAGATAGGTCAACATAATTTAAAAAACGAAGTCAATAAATTAAAAAATATACAAAATAATAAATGATCAATAAGTAGAAGAAAGAAGCATAAGAAGAAGGAGTCTGACACAGTGATGCGTTATTCTTATTTTCGGGTTAAAAAGTCCCAAGCGGTAAACAAGCAAATAGGAAGTCACCGTACCACGTTATTTTGTACGGAAATGTAAACAAACACATACCTACAAAACATTACCGTAAAAGCAAATTAAATTTTTGATTGAGTATTGAAGTAAGTTTAAAAGAAAGAAGGAAGGAAGGAACGAAGGAAGAGGTAGACGTCACTAACGCTGTTAAATAAAGCAAAACACTTGCCTAAATGGTGTGATTTGAAAATCATAAATTAAATTGAAAATAAATTGCATACGTTGTTTTTTCTTCATTCTTTATGAAATAATGTTGACGATACATCAATATTTCCAATCGGATAGCATAAAGAAAGCTTCAATTAATACAAAAAAATAAATAAATAAATTAAATAAATTACTTCTTAATATAAAATAATTTATCTTTATTTTTTCTATTACGTTTTTTTGTTTTTGGTTTAATGATTTGCATATATACATACAATAACATATTATTTATCAACTCAGCGTTCTAACACAGGAAACACAGAAAACAATTTATTATACTTTTAAATATGTTAAATGCATTAAAATATTCAATAATTTAATAGATTCTTTTCATTTAAATCATCTGTATATGAAATAAAGCTTTCTTTGCATTGACGTATGGCATATATATATATATATATATATATATATATATATCTTTTCGAACTTATAATAAGTAACATTTTGTTATCTTTAGGAAGGTCTTAAAATATTTTAATTAACTCATTTGTTCGAGAGTCAAATGTTTCGAGTTCAAATGTATTTTTTTTTTTAATTTAATAAGAGTTTGAAGGGCCAAAATTCGTACTTCGTTATTGTTCTTAAGCATGCGTTACAACTATATGCATTAATTGTATAGGGTATCAAATAATTTTTATTTTTTTTTTATTTTTTACTAAACGATAAAAGAATATTCGTTTATGTTAGATTTTGGTTCATTTTTAGTTAGAGATGATTTCATGGATATAGGTTCAATAGAATTATATCGCATCACCTTTGTCACGCAGGTATTTTTGGGAGATTAAATGGTCGTTGATCTTTCTTTCTCCACATGCCTGTATCGCATGCTGCAATATATTATTAAAACTACATGTCGTCCAACTCAAAATCATCTAATTTTAAATGAAATTACGTAATCACGGTTCTGTAGCGTTCTGATTTGACGGAAACTGCAATGCAATTTTCATCTTAAAAATGACATTCTCAGCCCGCCCACAAACTACAAACATATATAATCAGATATGAGCTTCATTCCACATGCACGCAACATAATATTGGATTCATTGATTTTGTAATAAATTATAATAATTTCTATTCGCTGTACATGTGATATATTGCAAAAAAAATTTGATCCAAATATCAATCTGAAATATATTTTATTCACATCTAATTTCGATACCATAAAATGGATGATCCGGTAAATTCGATATTAATTTATCCATTTATAATTCAATTGAGATTGATATATATGAAAAGTTTTTAAGAAAGATTGCTAAGAGATCGTATTTCCAAGGAAATTTTCTATATTCTCTTTCTATAAATCTAAAAACTCATAATTGCATTGCTTATCGGAAAAAAAGTTTATTTCCAAGTGACTGGAATTATTTATAAATGATACATTTTGGTATATGTATTGTAACGAATCAACTAACAAACAAACCGAACATGGAATTGATACGACTAACGAGAGTTACATTCAATTTGACATCACGAGCCGACCGATTATCAAATTTCGCTTTCGTAAGGAACATATTGACCATAGTGGAAATCTTACTATATATAATAGAAAGTGTATGGTCTCTCTCTCAGGTCCTAGCACACCTCTGTCATTGTAAAGATTTCTAATCACTTTAATACAATACAACATAACAAACTGTGTGTTAATTGTCTTTGTCTCTTTTACATAAATGTGTGTGTTTTTTTCTTTTTTGTTTTTTTTTGGTATATTATCAATCCTACTTGCTTTATGATTAAAATGTGGTAAGATTTCATGAAGGTAAAGCTTTCTACATGAAAGCTTGAAATAAAGTTTCAAGGCTACAGGACAAGAAACGCTCTTATAGGTTGTCGGCGGAATTTACAATTTTATTTGGCGAGAATGTAAGAGGAAAAAAATGAAATGACATATTTTTTTTTTTTTTTTTTTTTTTTTTTTTGTAAACAAAATTTCAAGCGAGTAATCATGATAAGAGGTAATAAATTAAAACCGTATAGCCAACCGTATAGCCAAGTTATTGGCTCATTATACGCACTAATGAAGAATTTATGCTCCTTATAGAAACTACGCGAATAAAAAACAGCTCTTAATATAAATGACAAGTATATTGTGTAGTTATGATTATATCAATTTTCAAAGTTTTATTTCATCAAAACGTAAAACTGTGTTATCATACTTCACACCGTTCTGCGATACAAGGCTATATTAAAATTGTGCGGACGTGTACAACACCCATAGAGACTTGAGACAGACTCACCTTTCGTTTATACGCGATCGATTTAGAGTCACTTTTTGAATCGGTTTGAACTTGTCGGTCGGTCGATCTGTCTTACATTCTTGCGTTCACCTTACAGGTGACAGCTTTTCAGATGATTTTGATGAAATTTGATACACCGATGTGTTTTGGGTACAGAGACGAATCCTATTCGAATTGAATCAATTTTTCGACAACTTACCATATAACGCCTTACTTTGAAAGGTCACGTATTAAGCCAAGTGAATTAGGGTATTTAATGATGGGCCCTAACTGACTGATAGGGTTTTCATTTCCTTTTAGATTTGAATTTGACACCTGTTAAAGATAAAGTCGCGCGTTTTACACTTTGCAGTTTAAATGACGTACAAAATGGCAAGAAAATGGAAAATTTAATAACCGAATTCATAATCAACAACAAAAATGTCATCCAAAAGTTTTAATTTCTTGGCAAAAGTGTTGAAAGCTTTCGAATTACTATCAGCTGTTCGGCATGATGAAGCTAGACTAACATATTTTGATTTGGAAATGTTTTCAATTAAACACAATGATGTACTAAAGATGTACACTAGAAAAGAAATCGGGAAGGAACAAGTAAAACGTAAAATTGTAACTTTCCAGCAGGAACTCATTTCGCCAAAACACTTGAGGGAAATCAAGAAATTTTTTAGAAAACAAATTCTGTCATGTATTGAATTTTGTTGCAAGTATTGTAAAAGGTTCGAAGCATCTATTAAGCGATTAGAAATAAAAAGTATTTTTACTGAGTAACTTACAGTAGTGATAATCCGTAAAATAAAAGTTAAGCAGTAATTAGCAGTAATTAAAACATTAAAAATCATTTGAACGTAAATATAAATCATTAAAAAAAAAAACAGACGAAAGATATAAATTTCTCCACTCTGGAATACACATAAGCATGTGGAAATTTTTATCGCATATCTCTTGTAGGTTATGAGTAATGAGCAAAAAAAAAAAAAAAAAAAAAAAAATTAGAATGCAAAGATGGTAACAGTTTATATTGCATTGTAGGCGTGTCCTTTGATTGATTTAATCTACCTTCAATACATATCTGCGTGCAAGGGCGTCCGATGTTTTTGCCCAATTTGAAGGAGATATCTAAATTTTTGCAAACGGGAGAAGGACCTTATCGCGGACATTGCACAGGCGAAAAACGAGATATGCTTAAATTGATGCAGAATTTAATGCTAATCAAGACCATGTATACTTTAGCGAATCTACGAAGCTCATTTTTGGCTGTCCCTAGCATTTTCACAATATGAAAATGTCCGATTCTTAAGGTAGTGGATACAAAAAAAAGTCATATAAAAAAGAAAGGGAAATCCCCTGCAATTACTCGCGTTGTCTAAACGATGCAATGTGTACCATATAACACATATATTACATCACTTAATAATTCCCCGGTCTGACACATATGCGGCATCAATGTTGACAGGACCGTATGATTTTTGGACAATACCAATTTTCAAATAACTTATAGTTGCTTTAATGAGAATGTTTTTCTTACTTTGAAAACAATGGAAAAATTCAAGTAAACGTTGACAAAATAAGTCCATAGTCAGCGTTGGTTTGAAAGACATATTGACGACCCTTGTCTGGAGCAAAAAAATTAATTTGTCGTATGGACGGTTATGACGTTGAACACTCGGGTCGCTCAAAATTTGTTAGTTGTTCCACGGACACCTTAAAGGTGTTGAAAGGCAGTGTATTTACTATTTGGCGTGTACCTTTCTCCATGAGAAAGTTCAGTTCAAAGTGGATGCAGGCTTTGTTCACTCTTGACAAGAACGTGTTGATGAGTGCAAGCATTGTTTGGCGCTATTTAGGCGAGATAAAAACGATTGCTTCATGCGAGATGTGGCAATGGATGAAACATGTGTTTATCACTACATCTCAGAGTTAGAACGCCAGTCCGACGAGTGGACAGCAACCGCCGAAAGCCGTTCAAAGCGACAAAAGTGCTTGCGGCACTAAACCAACTGTACCTTCTAAAGTAATGATCGAAAGGTGTTGAAATACAGAACACATATTGATATAGCAACAGTGTTGCTAGCCAGTGTGCCAGCCCGGAGACATACTGAGTGATGTGATATACTCATCAGATATTTCTTTTGTATTGTATATCATTATGATTAGCGTGGACTTATGTTTGGAATTTTTAAATTCTTTCATTGAAAGCTGTTGAAGATCGTGTTCGGAAGTTTTTAATTTTTTACAAGAATTGTGTGCGTCCATAAATATAAAAACAATGGAAATTTTTCTTATATATATTCATGACACAAATCGAATAAGAAATGTTCACTGAATTCGAAACAAATTTGAACAAATTAAAGCTTGAGAGAAAGTGTTACTTCGTTATTAGATTTTAAATGTCTGTACGTCTGTTTGCTAGAAAAAGTTATATGAGTAATAGAATGAGTATATGTGTAATAGACAGCTCAAGCAAATGCATAAAAATTCCAAAATACGGTTGTTAAAGCTGGGCACGTGATCTCGTCGATTGATTCTGCGTTAAATTGCAAATCATTATCTGCTTTGTATTAATGGCAGTAATTTTTTTTTTTTTTTTTTTTGATCAGGTTACTAATTCTAAAACTTGGTCCATGACATTTAACACGAAATCGATTATTTAAGTTGCAGTTTTCTTCTTTTTCATCACCTTTGTTGAATTTATGCGATTTTTGATCGATATTTTCAGATCTTACACACTAAATAATAACATTAGTGTTCGTCCATCGATCCGTACTGCTTATCAAAGCAATTTTAAAATTGTTTTTTTTTAAAGCTTTTTTATGATACGTTGTGTGTGCATTGGTATAAAATGCAATTCTACATATGAAGTGATAATATATGAGTGATTTTTAGTTCACGCATGGCGTATAAGTAACTTGTCGAAATACTAAATACATTACAATAATAGCCCTTTAGAGCGTATTTGAAACATTTGAAAGTAGGTAGTACTTCTCTCAATTAACCGTTTTAAATGAAAGATTGACTAACTTATTTTAAATATATTGCCAGATTAAAGGAAGAAAATTTAATACATATGAGATGATCAGTTTAATTCGATTTTTAAAAAAAAATTATTTTCTACTCTTTATTCAATTATTAGATAGTCTAATAAGTATTCAGTTAGTTAAATTTGAAAGGTGGTTGTTTCCAAAGAAATTCGAAGACCAAGGTTGATTGATTACGCAATATATATATATATATATATATATATAGATATGTGTATAAAAATATCTTGTTTGAATATTTGCTTTGTAAGGTACGTGTTGCGAGTTATTTCCTTTAATAAAGCCCGTTTTGCATATACGATTAAGAGAGTATATTAGAGAAAAAGTCCCGTCAATATGCAAAACGTACCATTTTTTATATGATAAAGGACAATGCCACAGTAGCATACATATATCATCCCTGACAACCCCTAATATTAAAAACATGTATCTCTACAGGATGCATTACGATACGATAACATTTATTTATACATGTGTGTATATAGATTTTTAAAGTGTACACATGTATTGTTTATATTAACTTGTTCCAATTGAGTTTTTACGCACCATTCAGTATACGTATATGGGGAGGCATTTACACGGACACCATGCATTACTGTTTACATCATAATCGTTGTCTATATAGATTTGGAGAGAGAAAAATTAAAGAAAGTAAGAGGTAGAAGTAGAGATAGATAGAGAGAGAGTAAGAGAGAGAGAGAGAGAGAGGGAGAGATAAAGAGATAAAGAGAAAAAGAGAGGGGGGGAGGGAGAGAGAGAGAGAGAGAGAGAGAGAGCGAGAGATATCGAGAAATTTTTTTTGTATAGTTTTTATTGCTCTCATTGTTTTTTTTATTGCTCGCTCGCTCTCGATAAATAAGCGAACAAACATCTCACTGTTGGCCGCAAAAGTAGAATATTTATGTTTTAAATTTTCTGAATGGCATAAGAAAGAAATCAACCCAGACATACTTGGCCCAGTATCATTTTGAACGTTTTCCCATCACGTTTTGCCATAGACACATTTAAAGATATGTAGTATAGAAAAGGAAGAGACTTAATTGTAACCTTTAGAAATTTTTTTTTTCTAATTTCAATGCAAAATGCAACAAATAATAAAATTAATCAGAATGTAAAGAGTGCTTAATGGTTTACCGTTAATGTGAATTTAAAATGCAATATAAATAGAAGAGAAATATTTAGCCGTTAGCCTGTTTATAAATATAGTTGAAAATGAAAAGTCAAAAAATAAATGAAAAATATGATATAAAATAATAAATGTCATTTATATATGGATGTATGTATGTATATATTGATGTATATATGTATGCATGTATGTATGTATTGATGTATTGATGTATGTATGTATGTATGCATGTATGTATGTATGCATGTAGGTATGTATATATATATACGTATGTATGTATGTATGTATGTACGTATGTATATATAAATATATATAAATATATATAAATATATATATATATACTTACATATATATAATGTGAAAATCAAATCAAAATCGAATATTTCGATTCGGTTCAGTTATGTACGTGTTAATGCTTAATATACATTAATATTGTATATAACATGATGTACATTCTTACATATGCATGGATGAAACGTAAAGTTTTCGCCTGCACAAATAGATAGATACACACTAATACAAATATGCTTTAAGGCGAATTTAATAGAGAGTTTTGGCGTCGACGCCATCGTCGTCATGTATAATATTGTGCTCGTGCAACTTTCGTTTCCTCATTTTGTACGTCTACGTCTGTCTATCTATCATACGAATCGAGAATGTGGTGTTTTTAGAAATCCCTGTTGTAGCGAACAATTCGTGAAAAACGTAGAAAACAAGAAAATCTTTAAAAATCATTTATTAAATAATTTTGAAATATATTTTTTATAAAATAATAATATATATTACAAGTAAATCAAGAAAAGGCAAAAGACCAAAGAGAAAAGAGAAAAAAAATTATTAAAAACAAAAATGTACGTAAATATATCCGTGAAATGTGTTGGAGTTGAGTAACAAAAAAAAAAAAAAAAAAAAAGCAAAAAAAAAAAAAAAATAAGACGAAAAAGAATATTTTTTCAATTCATGTGATATGTAAAACGCCTAAGCACAAGAAGAAAAGTCTAAAATATTTATGAGCAAGAAAATTAATAATGAAATATTTGTAAATATATTTGGGATATTTTCAAAATTCCCAAATCGATATGCTTTCTGCGAGTGACAGTGATTCATGAAATATAGTATGCAGTTTCATTTGCTACTTTTGCCCTGGAATACCACAATTATGTATATGTACATAATAAATATCTGTAGATATATTTATACACTTATGCATATATGAGTGCATTAACAGTTAGTTAGCATCTGTCTTGCATTATGATTATGATTATATTATTATTATTATTATGATTATTATTATTATTATTTTTTGTGTTTTTGTTTTTTTTTTTTCCTGAATATAAGTAAGAAAATATTGAAAATGAACTAAAAAATTCAACAACCCTTAACTTGTATTGCATTTAACCTGAATAAATTACATACGAACATTATACGCTTTTATTATATACACACACAAATATAGGTACAATCAAAAGATATATATATATATATATATATAT